CAATAGTAAAGACTGCTGAGACCGTTCTGAGAAAACCCAAGCTTCAAAGAATCTGAGACCAGCCAAGCAGGGTGAAAAGCAGCAAATACTAACCAAGCAGTCTGAAAAGGGCAGAAGCCAGCCGAGATGCCTGAAGGGGGTTTAGGCCAACTGAGATACGTGGAAAAGATACTTTCCAAACTGTTGAGCTTCCCATTGGCTGTGCCATGTGTACTAGGTGTCCAGCTTTTATGAGTAGTCTCCTATTCTGGGGTGGGCTTTGGTGACACAGCTGACTTTGAATTATTTCTTCTCCTATATGAAACCTCTCATCCACATCTCTATGAGTAACTGCACTGAAACTCATTGGTTGGACTTTGGTGGTATCTATACTTTGGTCCATTGTAGGCTCCCTGTTGGAGTAAGTAGACATGTGCATTGCATCTCCCCAGGAAAAGTCTGGGTGTGTCACATAGCAAGGACCAAAACCTGAACATTCTAGACATTATCTCTCATTTTATAGAAGTGAGTATTCATTAAATGTTGAGCCCAATGGAGACATGAAGTAGCAAGAAAGAAATATGTGCTATAAGGAACAGTCCCTGATATTAAGCATGTGTATTAAATGAACAAGCTCGCCAATGTGTTTCAAACTATCCTTTAGCTTCTGTGTGAACAATGGACTGCCCAGTAGCCAACAGAGACTGCACAGTCCTCCTGCTGAACATACGTCATATGGGAGCAAAGCCACATTTTGACCTCAAAGATAATACATAAGTGTCCACCCATATGTACCATACAAAGAAGTTATATGGAGAAAAAATAGTCCTGTTCTCTTTAAAAGTATTTGATAATCAATGTTTGGAAGTAGCAAGCATTCGTTTTTAATCCTACCTGCCTTTTATTGTATTTTTTTAACATAATTATATGTTAGGTAGTATATCTGAATAACTAAATATTTTCAAATGTAATTTGTTTAGAACAAAATTTTTTTTTAATTTTTTTCTCTCATATATTGCATCTGAACAGTTTCCCTTTCCTGTCCTTCTCCCAGTATCTCCTCCCAACCTCCTCTCTCCCCAAGATCCACTGACTCTTCTGCCACATCTCAAAAATAAATAAATAAATATATAAATATATATATATGCCTCCCAGGGACATCAAGGAAACACTGCATAACAAGCCACAATAAGACCAGGCACCACATGTCATCATATAACAGCTGGACCAGGTAACCTAGTAGGAGGAAAAGGGTCCCATGAGTAGAAAAAAAAATTTCAGGTCAGTCCCTGCTCTCACTGCCAACATAACTACAAGAACACCAAGCTACTCAATTATAACATATATAGAGAGGAGCTACATCAGACCTTACAGGCTCTCTGATCTCTGTGAGCACCATGAGTCCTAGACAGTTGGTTCTGTGGCCATTATTCTCCTGTTATTATTGTGTCCCTGACCCCTCCAGTTCCTCCCATCCTTCCTCCACTTGCTCTGCAGGACTCCCTAACCTCCACCTAATGTTTGGCTATAGGACTATGCATCAGCTAACATTAATTGCTGGATGAAATCTTTCTCATCTCCTTGATGAGAATTCTGCTAGGCTCCAGTCCCAGGACAGTCTGTAGGTAGGACAAATTATAGATCAAAGGTTTTGTGGGACTATGTCACAATCCCTCCACTTGAGGCCTTGTTTGGTTACAGAAGATGGCTCCCTGCCCACTATTACTATGAGTCATTGCTAGGGTTACTTTCATAGATTCCATGAAGTTTCTATTGCACTAGGTTTCCACGTTTGTTCGTATAATGTTCTTTTGGAATGTATACACCTTACTCCTGTTCCTTCAAATGCTGATTTCTCTCTCCCACTCTCTAGTTTCAATCCGGACATTGCATTGTGATACTTATTCTAAGCATCACCTTTCTTAACTTTGTGTAAACATGCCAAAATAAAGCAATCAGCCCCAATGGTGAGCAATGGAAAGGAAGCAGGAAGAGTGGGAGGGGCCAGAGGACAGGAAGGTGTGGGATGCAGAGGAGGAGAGAAGAGCAGGAGAGAGCTGGGAAAGAAAGGCTGAAGGGGAGGTCTTGGAAAGACGCGGAGAATGAACCGGACCTAAGATTTCACTAAAAGCAAGTATAATGTGGGAACTCTGAATGGTAGGAAACTATGAGGGCTTGAAGGTTTAGGATGGAACAACTATTGCCCAGCATTGTAGTCTAGGTTAATTAAATAAATTCTAGTCTCTGTGTGGTGATTTGAGTATACAGCTGTTTAAGATCAACAGCAGCATTAATAAAAGATATAATATTATATACAACACACCTTGCATCCCAAATAACGCCCAATTCAAGTTGTTTCTCTAAGTTTCTTGTCCCTCCCTTCACCCTGATCCCCTACAAGAACACCAAGCTTCTCAGCCAAAACATATATGTAGAGAACCTAAATCAGACCCCTATGTTCTGTGATCTGTATAAGCACCATGAGCCCCAGTCAACTGATTCTGTGGTCATTGTTCTGTTCCCACTCCCACAAAGCTTCAGTCCACCTACAAAAGTTATTCTAGTTTCTCTTTCTGGGGAGATCCTTGTATCCCTATCCCCATCATGTCAGCCTTCCTGGTTACTTAACCTTTCTGGGTCTGTGGACTGTTTACAGTTGTCTTTTGCTTTTTACCTAATATCCACTTATGAATGAGTACATGCCATCTTTGACCTTCTGGTTCTTGGTTAGCTATTCAGGATAATTTTTTCTTAGCTCATCCATTTGGCAGCAAATTTCATAATGCCATTGCTGTTAAGCTCTGAGTAATACTACATTGTGTAAATGTACCACTTTTTCTTTATTCATTTTTTGGTTGAGGGTTATCTAGGTTGTTTCCAGTTTCTGGCTATTACAAGTAAAGCAGCTATGAACATAGTTGAGCAAATGTCCTTGTGGTAGAATGGAATATCCTTTGGGTATTTGCCCCAAGAGTGGTATAGCTGGATCTTGAGGTGGTTCGATTCCCAGTTTTCAGAGGAACCCACTATATTGACTTTCAAAGTGGCTATACAAGCTTACACTTCCTCCAGCAGTGGAGCAGTGAATCACTTGCTCCACATCTTCACCAGCATGAGCTATTACTTGTGTTTTGATCTTAGCCACTCTGACAGGTTTAAGATGGAATCTCAGAATAATTTTGATTTGCATTTCCCTGATGGCTAAGGATGTTGAGCATATCTTTAAGTATTTCACAGCCATTTGAGATTCCTCTGCTGAGAATTTTCTGTTTAATAAATAATTTTACATAAATGTTTCTTGAAGGTATTCTAAAATAAAATGACTTATATTATGATAAATTTCATTCAATTATTTCTAAACTATCTTATTCGTAAATGAAATTTCAAAGTGCTGTGACTATAACCAACAGCAGCTAAGTTGTTTCCAATAACATTTTAAACATATCTTAATACCATATGGAATATTAAACTAAAATATTCTCTTTCATATAACTTATGGGATTTGCCAAGAACCTTTGTATATATTCTAAGTATAGCTTGATATGTACCCTAGGATTTCTATCAAGGCTATTATATATTTATATTGAAATACATTATTAAACATTCTAGTAAGGAATTTACCAAGTGAAATTATAACAGAAAGAGCATGCACCTGTGCAATTGGACTTCATCCTGTGTTTGTGTTTGGGATGTTTTCAGAAATAGCCCCCATCATATGAATTGGTAATGTTGGACATTTCATTATCTCAAAAAAACAGGATTGCACTTATTTTTCAGCACGTCCACATATCCAGAGAGGCCAGTGGCATACACATTAAACCCAAAATATATAATGTCAAAGAACTCTGCATCATTTAGTAGCTTTGGGGAGAGAAGAGTACTAAGCAGAGAAATAGAGAGCAAATTATTTTCTAAATTCTGCTCTATTACCTATTCTACACTCACAATCCATAACTATGGTCACTTTCTAGCAGAATGCAAATGTAGAATTTTCCCATACTCAGTAAGAAAATTTATTTTATCTTAATGAAATTACATAGAAGGGAGGTCAGGATATGGACAAATGATTGAAGCTATTTAATTCAAAAAATCTGTAGCAGTTTTTTTTTTAAGAGAAAAGAATTCAAACAGGTCACAGGAATGTATAGAGAGCATCTCTGAGATTCCAGAAATAATGGAAGAAGGATTCCACAGAGCCAAGGAAACATTGGAAAGAAAACTCTGAAGCCAGGTGAGCCACAGAGATAATGCTGCCATTCCTATTATGTCAAACAAATTGTCTTGGCTTGGATAGATGTGAGCTTGCTGCAGAATACTGAACATCATATTCTGATTTATGCTTCTCTGAGTTTAAGGAATGATAGAATTTGTTAGTGTACAAATGACCAGCAGTTCAACTTGCTTTGATTTCCTTTCAGTTATCCTTTCTTTGAAATTATATATAAATATGAAAATAGAACTTTTCAAATTAATGAGTAAATGATGCAGCAAATCCTTGATTCAATAACTTTCTTCTCAATTTATTTTTTATGCTCACTAAATGAGCTAATAATTTGAATGCCAATAATTTTATTTCACTGAATAAATGTTCATTTTCACCTTGTCATTTTCAAGGAAAGAAGTGATGGATAGATGGGTTTTGAAACATCAGAAATGCTGAGCTGGGTATATGCTACTTCTATATTAACAAAATTAAGTGTTTAATTGGAATTATAATCAGCCATTAAGTTTTATTGGTAGAATATTGTGACATAGCCATTTGATTTCCTGCAAAGTTCTTCATCTGTTTCACAGGCTAACTCATTATTAAGAAATATGTCAAAGCATATTTTTAGTTGCTGAAATGAAGACTTCCCAGGAAACTTTTAAAGTATATACTGATTTTATTCCAAAAACACCATTATTTTATTTTTATAAAAATGTGTGTGTGTGTGTGTGTGTGTGTGTGTGTGTGTTTATAGAAAAAGGTAAATATGTGTGCAACAAAATATAGTCTGTAGAACTCCTGCCCCTAGAGGATTTCTGCCACTAGAGGCACTGCAGTTGTGGCTGCTGTGTCAATGTGGATCAGTAGGTGGCAGAGAGGAGAGAGGTTATGCCTAAAAGCAGTCTTCAGACCTTTGACCATCTGAACGATTAGTAGCTTAACACTCACTGAAAAGAACGAGCCAGTGTCAACTGCCAATTTGGTGTGAGGCAGGTCCAGATAGCCAGAGATTAGAAGAACCCTTCCTTTGACCATAGGCCCCATGTGGGAGTGAGCCTTGTAAGGAGATGACCCTTACAAAGAGCCACTCCATTGAGCTGAGCAGAGAGTGAGCCCAAGATGACCACCAGACTTGCTCCATGGGGCCCAGACAGGGAGCTAGCTTGACATGACCACAAGTCTGGTGTCACATATTTTCTAATTTTTTTTGAAATTTCTTTTAATTGTTTGACACTGAAATAATTCAGACTTTCATACATTGAGCCTCATTGTCCATAATTGCCATCTTTTCATATCCTGTGCATGTATGTATATATATATTCATAAAAATATAAGATATATATATATATAATATATAGACTTAGGTCAACTGGAATTGTTAAAAGAAAGAATTTTCACAAGTCAGTTACTCAAATTTATATTTACATTTTTAAGTATTTAATAACAGATCATACAAATTAAAATACAAATACAAAGAAATACATTTTACACTTAAATTGTACCATGTGTCTTTTTTAAATTAAGAAATGTCAACATCAAATAGCAATTTATCAGCATATTTACCCCTTCTTCTAATCTCTACCAAGTGTTCTCTTTGCCTTAATAGTGCATTCAGTGTCTTCCTCATTCAAGGTTCCAGCCTTGGAATTTTAAAATTGATCTTTATCCTTTTATAGATGGACTCCAGTGATAATATTTCTACTACTTTACCTCTCTATGGAATCAATCCACCACCAAGATAGCTCTCTTTGAAGCACAATAACACTTGTGTTATTCTATCATCCATGCTTGAAAACATTTACTGGTTACCATGATTAAATTAATAACCCTGTTTTTTAGCATGTCTTTCCAACTTGGTTCTTACTACTTTTCTTTCTTTCATTCATTCTTTTCTTTTTAATATTATTAATATTTTTTATGTCGTCAGCTCCTTATTAAACCAAGCAGAATGTGAGGAAAGTGTTAACAAAATACTGAGACTGAGACAGGTGATGCTTCATAAAAATAACAATTCCAAAATCTGGCCTGTGGCCTATACTCAACTCTTCCTGTACAGAAAATAGTGTTAGAACAATACAAAGACAACCTTTACAGAGTTCAGAAAAGATTTTTCAAACATCTCCTTTTTGTCCAATAAGAGGTTCTTTCTCTAACATCAATAAACAATATACAGCAAGAACAATTAGGAGAACTATCAGGTAAAATTATGTTTACGATATCTAGTCCATATGTATATGGCAACCTTAGAGAAGGTACTCTGCTATCTATCTTATCTTGGCCAGTTCAGAGTTCTGTAGCTAAATCACTTTCTATCATAACTTTCAATTATCAATCTATAAATATATTTTTAAACCTTAAAATATTTTCTTAAATCCTAAGAAACTTAAGCTTATGTGTGAGACTATAACTATTTAGTCTTCAACCCCAGAGACCTGAGTAGACAGGAAGTGCAGAGCAAGCAGTTTCCAAAACAACAGAAATGATAGAGACTGTTGGCTGCCTGGACAGTCACCTTAGATTCATCTCTAACACTCTGGCATCCATCTTCAGCATATAGGCCTAGAGTATCCGACAAACCTATTTGTGGAGCAGGAATTACGAAATACTGGTCTACCTTGTCATGGAAAAGTTGGGCAGTTGACTTTCCAGTGTCCTGCTTGCCCACAGTTTAGATAGTATGTTGTCAGTAGTTGAGGCAAGGGCATATTTTCTGTCCAGTGAATAACTTTGCCACATTTGAAACAATCTCCACATGGAGGTTCTTTGATGCCCGTCGTCTTCTTTGAATTAGTGCATATCTCCTGCCATTTCACCTGAACTCATTCTTCCTCCTTACTCCTTCACTTTGTAGTTGGTACCTACATTTATTTGCTTTGGCTGCTGTCCTTTGTTGGACATAATTTTCATTCTACAATGTTTAAATCCATTTTATCATTTTTTGAGACTTGATTTCTCTGTCTTGGCTCTCCTGGGACTCACTCTGTAGACCACTCTATCGAACTCACAGAGATCCACCTGCCTCTGCCTCCCTGAGTGCTGAAATTACAGGTGTGCGCCACCACCGACCTGCTTCGTTTTATCATTTAAGATCCAGTGTAAATTTCAGTTTCTCCAAGAAATGTGCACAGAACCATCCAACAACAAGCTCTCTTTCTGAATTATTTGCCTCATCGTTCCACTGGACTATTAATGACATAGTGTAGTATTCCTCAACATTTTTGGTGTAAACAATTGTTATCCTTTTGAAAACTATTGGAGGTCCAAGGAACATTGGTTTAGGGGGTTCAATATTAATAATGTTATAAAATAGGACAGAAAAATAATGTATTTTAAAATAGCAATGTCCATTGTTTATTAAAATAAGTAATATATTTATCAAAAATCAGTGAGCAATTTGTTTTTTTTAACAAATACTAATATGTAACTTAATAAAAGCTGAATCTTTCTAATCTATTTTTCTATTTAGTCAAACATGAAAATCCATTATGGACATGTATGAAAGAATTACAGGTCTTGAAATCTCAGGAGGGCTTCGTCTTAGACTCTATTTTTCTCTTTAACTATTAGTGAAATGTAAAAGAATAAGCATTCCTATATGGTTATAGTTATAAAGGCACATATTACTCTCATTAAGTTTTAATTAAAAGAAACTTATTCCAGTACTAGAACATAGGTTCTAATATCACATTTCAAAAAAAGAAGGTGTTTAGCTTACAAATGTAATTTTTTATTACTATGAATCTATTCAATTCCAAATATATAGGTAAATAAACTTTACAAGTTCTTTCTATTGAGGGATTAAGTCTATAAATCCTCCCAAACTCTTCACCAGTTCTATGGCTGGATAGTGTAGACTCACTGAAAGACATAATTCAGAGTAAATGGGCTTACTATATTAAGAGTGTTAATAACTCATATTTAGAATTTCTACTTTCATAAGTACAAAATTACTTACTCATTATGACTATAGCATTTCCTTTAAGGAAAGAAAATGATTACATTAAAGTATTATGAATATAATAAGCAGGTTTAAAAGAAGATTGTCTATCTGAATAAAATGTTAAAAAACAGCTTTCATCTCTGTTTTTAATTTTCAATTTACCTCTTCTACTCTAGTAGGAAATGTGTTTTCCATTTCTTTAAAGCAATTACTGGGAAAAACAAAGTTGGAAAGTTAGCAATACATTTTCACCTAATTGATGACATTTAATTCATAATTTATAACGATGCTACTACTATGGACCTCAGTTTGTTGATTAGTAAGCTTAGTGTCTGAACTAAGCACAATGGATAAACTTGGCCCTCAAGGGCTTATAGTTCTATGAGGGCAAAACCATTTATGTGTAAAATACACATAAATATGAGGGCCTGACTAGTGGCTCAGCAGGTAAATGCAGTTATTACCAAGCCAGAGGACCTGAGTTTGTTTCCCAGATTTTTTGCAGATTTCATATAGTAGAAAGAAAGACCCAGCTCCAGTCAGTTGTCTTCTCACTTCCACACATGTACCATGATGGCACATGCATTCACACACATATATACACATGTACACACATGCACACACACACACACACACACGGAAGCAAGCAACTGTAATCTTTTGTTTTGTTTTGTGTTTTGAGATGAGGTTTCTCTGTGTAGCCGTGGCTGTCCTGGAGTCATTTTGTAGATCAGATTGGTCTTGAACTCACAGAGATCTGCCTGCTTCTGCCACTCTGAGTGTCGGGATTACAGGCATGTACCAATGCGCACGGCTAACAAACGTAATCTTAAAAGAAGAAAGTACACAGAGTAAAAAAATAATACAAAAGATATAACAAATGCAAAAATAGTGGAAATGTTGATGCAAGTACATAACTCCTATATCACTCATAGGCATCGCTGACACTTCTTCAAACCTTGTCTCTACTTCATCTCTGATGCTGGTCACCACTTCTCCTGTTTTTTAATGAATTGAATAATACTTTGGTTCACTCTGTTTCACGTGCTTCTTCCTACCCTAAGGATTCTGACCTGTAGCTTATGAACATCAGAGAATGGGTGCTGGTAGGTACTCTGGGTTACCACAACGACAGATATTTCTGGTTGGTTATAAAGCTTTGCACAGAAAGTTACAGAGATGATCCATATTTGCTTTCTTTTGTGATAGCTAACTTGGTAAAAAAAAAAAATCTCTGTGTTACTTTGTAGATCCTTGACACTCATTCCTTCCTGATGCTGGTATTCAAATTGCTTCTCAAATAAGCTACCTATATTTGGTTCCTGAAGTTGAAGTCAGGGTTTTTTTTGTGTGTGTGTGTATTTGTTGTTTTGTTTGTTGCTGTGGACAGAAATCTTTTATTTTATTTTTTATTATTAGTTACATTTTATTAACTCTGTGTCCCAGCTGTATCCTGCTCCCTCATTCCCTCCCAATCCCACCCTCCCTTCCTTATCTCCTCCCTGCCTCTTTCCAAGTCCACTGATTGGGGAGGATGTCCTCCCCTTTCATCTGACCCTGTTTTACCAGGTATTTCCAGGACTGGCTGCAAAGTCCTCCTCTGTGGCCTAGCAGGACTGCCCCTCCCTTGGAGGGTGGGGAGGTCAAAGAGCCTGCCATTGAGTTCCTGTCAGAAATAATCCTTGTTTCCCTTACTATGGGAAACCAATTGGTTACTGAGCTACCACTGGCTACATCTGAGCAGAGGTTCTAGGTTATATCCATACATGATTCTTGGGGGAGTATCAGTCTCAGAAAAGACCCCTGTGCCTAGATATATTTGGTCCTTATGGAGCTCCTGTACTCTCCAGGTCATATTAACTCCCCCTTTTTTCATACAATTCCCTGCACTCTGCTGATGGTTTGGTTAGGAGTCTTAGTATCTGCTTTGATACACTACTAAGGTAGAGTCTTTCAGAGGCCCTCTGTGGTAGGCTCCAGAAATCTTTTTTAAGAAATATCTTAA